TTTTTTTTGGGGGGGGGGGGGATTTGGCCCTTTGCCCTTTCTTTTTTTTCATTATTCGATAGTCATTCCTTGGCCATTCATGACTTTGAGATGAGCTCTCCTTTTAATTATGTATGTATCTTTTTGACAGGTCACTAAGGTGATGCCTAGAATGGCTTCAGCAGACATAGTTTGTGTTGATTCCAAGTCTGTGCGTGAGAAATTCACCGGCATTATTAGGTTAGTTAAATTGATTTCTTTTTCGGTTTAAAATATATGACCACAGGTTTAGGTTGACTCTTGACTAGTGATTTCATCAATAGTCTTATTCCTTATGTATTTTGGACAAAATGCTGAAGAACTCTGTTGAGGCGAAATACAGAGCCTTCACAGAAAGTTGCTCTTGTAATGAAGTACTAGACATAAGGAATATAAAGTATTACTGGTGTGACACATTTTTTTATTAATCAATGGTTGGTGTAGGTTAGTCATAGGAAAATGGCAAGATAGGGGTGGTGCTCTTTCACGCCAAGATTTCGATGATAATTGCGCTGAAAAATAAATTGTATTAACTGGATAATTTTCTGCTTCAACAACAACAACCCAGTATAATCTTACAAGTGGGGTCTGGGGAGGGTAGTATGTACGCAGCCTTACCCCTACCTGGCAGAGTAGAGAGACTGTTTCCGATAGACCCTCGGCTAAAGAAGGTGAAAGAAGCCTTGATAGCAAGTAATAGCAAGACAAATAATTAGTAAACTAAATCGAAGATAGCAACAAAGAATATGAAAGAGGTACCGATAACAAGTAATAGCAAGACAATATATTTAGAAAACTAAATCCAAGGCAGCAAACGAGAATATGAACGAAGTACTGCCAGCAAACTATGGAATTACCGATGGCAAGTAATAATAGAACAAGACATGCAAATATAGCAAACTAAGGAAAAAAGGGTACCGTACTAGCACTAATACTATCGAACTATAGAAGACAAAGGGAAACGCCCGACTACCTACTAACCTTCTGCTTCAAGAGGAATATTTCTACCTAATATGGTCTTTTTGTCATAGGAGATAGATCAGAGCATATTCTGGTAATATATAGTGTATATAATTGAGGCTCTATGTAGTATGTGGTCTTTCTATACTTGTTTGTACAGGTTGCACCCCTGAATGTACTTATTAATAAAAAGGACGATATTGACACAGATCATCTCATGCTTATGGTTGTTGGGCAATTCAGATAATAACCGTGGCTAAAAAGGAGTTAAGTTTGCTAACTGGTTTTTTCATGCTAATTTTGTACATAATAATATACTATTACCAACTGCTCCAAATGTCACAAAGTGCAAAATATGATAGATTTGCTGAAAGTGGTTGACGGTCTACATTTTAATTTGAAACCTCTGTTCAATACAATTATAATGATCGGACTGCACATTGTTGCATTGATGCTGTGAAAATGGGCTTTATGAGATGATCATAGGTCATAAAGTTACTGCTATTTTACGGACTGGTGTGTCATTTGGTTCAAAGTTAAATATATTATGTTGAAACTGAATTACATAATTGTTATACTATTCAATTTTGTTTGTTTTTTCTTACATTTGTATGGAATATTGGGATATTCTCTTTGAATTAATCTTACAATCTGAGTAAAATTGATGCTTAATAAGGTCTTCGTATAGGTCTTGTGTCAAAAAGAAAGTGGGATAAAGGCTTCCCCAAAGAAGAGGGGGATTTGATACTCTAAATATTGCGTAGTGCCAGGTTAAATAGTGCGGGAAAATGTAGTCTAGTGGTTATCCGTGTAATATTAACATGTAATTTTTATTTTTGGAGCTGTCAAATTTCTCAACTTCATCTGTGAATTGTGTCACAGTAAGCAAAATGTATATCCCTTTATTACATTGGAGGTTGGAGGTTAGGATCTTTGGTATGAAGTTGCTCCTTTCCAATAAAGACCGCCCGGTTGGTTTGTCATGCATCAACCATAAAGCCAGTCTATTGCTCGTAGATCATGATGCTGCAGACCATTAAAAACCAATTTCCACTTTAACAACCCTCCTTATTGTTTATCTTGGTGCTCAAATCTCACATGGGGCTCTCTGTCTCCACCTTAATTAATTACATCTCTATGCTGAATTGCAGTAGTTGCTATTTTCAGATAGCAGTATGTTAAATATTGTACTAAATAGTATCAGAACTGAGCCTTAAATTTTAAGGTGTAAGCTTACCAGATTACTAAGACTAACAGATTCCCCAGTCTTTACTGTGTTGACTTGCTTTATATGCACATTCATTGGTACTCTACAGTGCTGCAAGATTTTGGCACAGAAAATCTAAAACTTCCTTTTGAATCAACAGGCAACAGGATGTGAGAGCAACTGAGATTGACAAAGTCGACATGCATTTGTCCTTCCGCCCGGGTGATATTGTCCGTGCATTGGTGGTAATCTCCTGTTAAACTTTATGACTAATACAAGATTAAAGTTTTTGAGTGGATGCTAATCCCCAGAGGCCACCTAAGGCAATGTAAAGAGCTAGTACTATTATCCAGGGAACTGAAGTAAAAAAGTGCAAACAGGTGGATAGCATAAGGTTGAAATCCCAAATTTTGAAGATATAAGTGCTTTAGCTAAGTGCTCTACAACCACGGGTTAAAGTGGTTGTAGAGGGCTGCAGTTGCATTTTAGTCCATCTTGAGAATCCATACGAGCTATTGGCCTTTCCTACTTAGAGTTGGCAATATTGGGGAATCTTAGTTGTTCTTGGAACTTAACTTGTTTGTGAAGTGTGTTGACTTGCTCCAGTATTGAGTATAATTTCTTTATATTCTTTCTTGAAAAGCTATCACTTGGAGATGCACGGGCATATTATCTGTCAACTGCAAAAAATGAGCTGGGTGTTGTATCTGCTGAAAGTGCAGCTGGTAAGGCTTTTTTCATCAACTATCCTGTTTGTTTGTTCTTTTTATTTTGATGATCCATATTCTTTCAACTTTGTCAGTGCTATTTAAATTTGATTCAGAACACGACTGACCCTCTCGCTTGCCAAAGTAATTCCACTTGAAATGATCGTCATTGAGGACGCTGCCAGATGATAAATTAAATTTATCAGACATTAACCTGAGTAGTTTGGCATGTTAAATGTCTAGTAAATGGGTCAATTAGAAGTTAACTTTCTTGTGCATGCATTTTCTCCTAATGGAGAAAAATTGAATTCCAAAACATTATCATATGGAGGGATAGTTGTATGAAAACCTTTGCATTTCCATCTTGCTAGATGCTAGATGCAGTTTGAGTTGATATCATAGTCTGTTTAGTTGTAGAAGCTACTCTGTATATTTAGGAAAATGTTGTTTGTCAAATCATTACATGTTACGGATGGCCTAGGATTGCAGGGTTTAGGTTCCTAAAAGGTGCTTGGTAAACTTTTGCAGGTGGTACCATGGTTCCAATTAGCTGGACAGAAATGCAGTGCCCTCTAACAGGTCAAGTAGAACAGAGAAAGGTGGCCAAGGTTGAAGCNCAGGACTAAAAAAAGAGGGGAGGTGGGTGCAGGCGGCAACTGTAGCATTTTGCTTTTGTATCATAAGTAAAGTTTGATATTAAGTTGATTTAGTCCTTTCTAGTTTAGCATCAAATTTTGATAGTTTAGGTCAAGGAACCAAGAAGTCATTGTGTATTGAGCACTTTCAGTAGACCATTTTGTATGTGGTACATTTTTGAGAGGTTACTACTTGTGATTGAAAGAGGAAATTATATGGTAATGCGCTGGTCTCTCTCTTCTTATTTGTTTATTGCATTAGGCATTTTACTGTAGTGGAAACAGAGAGCAACTTGATCAGTAATTAGTTTCCCATGTAAATTTATAAATTCGAACTGAATAAACAACTTAATCTATTTTTTTTGGAAAGAAATTACTCTGAATTGGTTGGACTGAAAAAGGAATAGGATCAAAGTTGACAGGTTGAGATTTATTATTATATATAAGCACGTCAAAATTGGGTGTTCATTTTGTTGTTTGATTCAATTTGTATTATTTCGACCCTGCCAATCACACGAATAACTCTGAAAAATCCAAATCCTTAAAGCAGAATGGCGGGTGGGGGCCGCTCGGTTTTTCTGTTTTCAGTTTCATATATGTACAACCACCCTATCGGAATAGAGTCAATTTGGTTGGGATTTGCAGGCGTACTTTATATTTGTGTCACATTTTAACTTGTACTCTATTTTTAAAAATTATTAATTTGGTAGCCAGTTTGACAAAAAATCCGTAATAATATGACAATTATACCCCTGACAAAAGATATAAAACCCGCATCACGCATTAATCACGTGATTTGCAACCTCATTCGTAAAAAAATTCACATTGAAGCAAAAACTTCATGCTAATGCATGCTGAAGTTATTTATCCTGCAGTCTACAGTTTTGCATTAGTTTTATCTGAAACTTCAGTCTAAACATGCTGAAGTTTTTTAGTTCATTTGCTAAAATTTCAGACTAAACATGTTTAAATTTTTGTTCTGCAGTATGTACTTTTCTAATGAGTTTTTTCTAATGCATGCTGAAGTTATTTAGTTCATTTGCTAAAATTTCATACCAAAATATGATGAAGTTTTGTCTTGCAGTTTACAGTTTTGTCATGAGTTTTATCTGAAAGTTCAGTCTAAACAAGCTGAAGTTTTTTAGTTCATTTGTTAAAACTTCAGACTAAAAATGCTTAAGTTTTTGTCTTGCAGTATGTAATTTTCTAATGAGTTTTTGCTAATGCATGCTGAAGTTATTTAGTTCATTTGCTAAAATTTCATACCAAAACATGCTGAAGTTTTGTCCTGCAATCTACAGTTTTGTCATGAGTTTTATCTGAAACTTCAGTCTAAACAAGCTAAAGTTTTTAGTTCATTTTCTAAAACTTCAGACTAAACATGCTTAAGTTTTTGTCTTGCAGTATGTAATTTTCTAATGAGTTTTTGCTAATGCATGCTTGTTTACCCGAAAAACGGTACAATTGAATTTGTTCAGTTTCTAGACAAGTGAATTAATTTCATCCAAAAAGTAATGAAATAACTGATGAAATATAAAATACTTAGCCTTAGAATGTAGATGGAATGACAGAACTGATGAATCCAGGAACAGGGTTTCCGGGCACAACAATGATGAGATCAAAAAAGCGAGAGAATAAAATTATATTAAAATGTTGTGGAGAATAAAGTGAAAGCCAGAAAATTCGTCCTCTTACAATGATAACAGAGCTCACTATTTATAACTACGTCTAGGAAAGGAGGTCCTAAGATCATGCCCTTCTTTAATGTCAATTATGAGGGCCATTGATAAAGATGTAACGTTAGACATAAATGCCAAATTCCTTGTAATGGGCCATCATCCTTAATGCTGCGAAATATTTTGTATTAAATGTTACCAAGCGCAAAATATTTAATACTCCTTTTATGATCGTTATTCCTTCTGGTGACAAGTGGAATAGCTATGTTCAGTGGCCATCCCCATCTTCCATTCCACATGTCCTTCCTTTAAGTGGCCACGTGTCATATCGTATTTTTCTCTATACAGATAGTCCCCCTGCTTTCCAGTGACACAATTTTGAGTTACCGGAAAGTTGGTAGAAAGCACCTTTTTAGCGAGAATTACTATAACTCCCTTTGAAGTTTTCTGAAAGTTGATTAGATGTACGTCTTTCCGCATTTAATGCCCCGAACATGCGTCATCCCACGATTCAACACAATTTTTTTGCCGATTATCGAGGTAATCATGGCCATGAATTTAGCCGCCAGAATTTTAGTTATACACATCGTCCTCATCTTATGTACTTCATAATTTCTCAAACTTCTAACTTGCATCTTTATTTTTCAACTTTTCTCTGATCTTCTTCGAACCAGAAATTTTCCTTCCTTCAATTTCAATGGCTTTCTCTTCAAAACGTGCTAGTTCTTCAAAGGGCAAGAACAAAACCGAGGATTTCGTTCCTCCAACAGTGGGTTCCATCATCTCAAGAAGGCTTAGTACTTTGAAGGATTTTAAAGAAAAATTTTCTACTATAACCCTCGTACATGGGATGTTAGTAGATACCCTTCTTCCAATCACCCTTCCAGTATTTCTGTTGTGAAGGAGGACTGCCGCTGCCCTGAGTTAGCTATTATTGCTCCTGATTTATCGGAGAGAGTAACCCTTCCTAAGGAAGGTTTTACATATTTCTTCACGTATCCTATTACATTGGGTGTATTTTCTTTGAGCAGAGAGCTTGATTCCGTAATTGCAGAGTTTTGCCTTCGCTACCATGTATGCTTGGCACAGGTAAGTCCTTCAGTGTGGAGGACGATCGCCTGCCTTCGGCGTTTGTACCAAGAAACTGGAGAGGAGCTAAGCCTAGCTCATATGATGAATCTTTATTCCCCCAAAATCTTCTGTGGGGGAATGATAAACCTTTGCAAGCGTAGCCACTATGCTTTATTGTCTAGCATGGATGATGACAACGACCGTGGGTGGATGGAACGGTTCGTTGCAGTTGCCACCAGTGACATTAATACAACAACAGCTTCATCCTTTCCGGTCGCTTGGAACCGCTCTCGTAAGTTCCCTTTAATAAACTGTTTCCTACTAAATATTCTTTCATGCTCGTATTGATTATTCAACCTTCGTTTGTTACAGTGACTCAATGGATCCCACCGGTGATAGAAAGCGTGAACCGGTGGGTTCAGAATATCTTGGACATCACAATGCCCGAAACTCATTTGTGGAAAGAGTTGTCCCTTAAATATGGGTGGAAGGACAAAAATTATGGTAACTTTGAATTACCTTGTTTCCATTTTCTGTATATGAAGAACTTGGTTGAACCCTTCTTACTTGTTCATGAAATTAGGTCTACCTGCAGGCTCAGTTGATATTCCCGAGGAGGATGTTTTGGCCTACTTCGGGCGCAAACGTTTCTTCACGGAGTTACCGGCCAGAGAACAAGCAACCAAAGAGAAGACGTTCCTCTGTGGCCGGGGAAAAGAATAAGAGGGAAAAAGTTGATATCCCCGAGTCATCTCCGGTGGCGATGGTGACTGGTCCTCCTTCCGGGATGGTCATAGACACTGTGATGATCGATAATGATGAAGAAGCTAGTGATGAGGGAGCTTCTTTACATAACTGACGATGATGTATCAGCACTTTGGGGAGAATATGATTTAGTTGAATATGCTAACTCCCACTTATGGGCCCCAATTGCTATAACCGGTACCACAGGGCTGAGTATCGGGTCCGTGCCGTCTTTAGTTGGCGAGCATCAAACAACCAGCACTACATTTGATGCAACTGCTTCTCGCTCTTTAACTCCATCAGCTTCATCTCTACCTTCACCACCACCAGCAACTGCTACATCATTTCCATCTTCATCCACTATTCCAACAATGGTTGCTACATCATCTCCATCGGCTGCACCTAACCATGAAGAAGGTGTCCCTCCTCCACAGTCCCCAGTTCATGAGAATTTGAGGCAAAATTATGCTGCCCCTTTTGAAAATCCACAAAAGAGGAGGAGTGTTACTCTTTCGGTCTCCACGGGTGCAACTTGCTTTCGAGGCTGGTGAAGCTTGCTAACTATCTGAATCCTTTGGCTTCGGAAAAATACTGGGAGAAGATTCAAACACTCTCGGGGGAGTGTTTTTTGAACAATGCTATGCATAACGCCACAACGATATGTTCCTTTCTTATTTTGTTATTTCTTCTACTTTCAAAAAATTGTACTCTAAGTTTTACCTCTTCTTATTTTGTAGGCCAATTTTCTTGCTTCTGAGGCCTTCAAAGGCTGATTCGTGAGAAGGAAGAACTTACTTCTGAACGGGATCAGCTTTTGGCGAAACGGGACCAGACTGTTCTCCGTCTCTCAGAACTGGAAACCAAGGCTACCTAGGTCGTTGTTTTGGAGGCCCGTTTGCATCAAAGTGAGCAAGAAGTGGTAACCCTTAGCCAAGAAATTGGGCCGTTGAGGGTTAGATTTGATGAAGCCAAGGCTAAATGGGCAGAAGTCCAGAACATCGTTCTTGCAGCAACCGATCGTGAGGCTGCCTCAACTGAAAGAGTGATTAACTTGGAGGAAGACTTAAAATCCAAAAGTGAAGAGCTTGCTGCTGTGGTGGTGAAACATGCCCAGCTAGAAGAAAAGTATAGGAAAACTATCGAGCATAATAGACTCTTTAGTTCAAATGTCAATGAGCTCGACGTCAGTCTTAAATCTGCTAGGTCCGCCTGGGAAAAAGTTTCCGCCGAAGTTACTCAACTCAAAGAAGAAATCAAGCACCGAGCAGCTTCCCTCATTGTTGAAAAAACTTATTCCATGTATAGGATGAGGAGAAAAACTTTGGAAGAGGCCAAGAATGGTATCATTGACATTGATGCCAAAATTGCTAAGGCCCCAGAGCTTGAGTTGGCTGCAAAAAATGGACTCCCGGCGCAGTCTGACGCTCCAGGTTCTTCTGATTCCGATTTCGAGTTCTCGTAAACTGAAGAAGGATCGGAAAGCGATGATGCCGAAGACCAAGCTAGGGAAAATATTGAGCCATCGGTGGAACCATCTACTACTCCAGGGGATGCATATACTTCTCTTCCTCCTGATTTCGGAGACGCTGCAGTTTAGCTTTTTCTTTCTTTTTCTATTTTGTACCTTTATCATTTTGACGCATCCTTGTAAATAAAAGCATATTTACTTTCGTACTTTCTCAAGTACTCTGCGCATGTTGTTCTGTTCGTGCTTTATTATGTGTAATCCTGGATGCTTTTTCTTCGAAGCATTTTGGTTCCAAGTATTATCCCTTTTTCGTGAGGACTTCCATGAGTATTTGTGCAAGTTTGCTTTCTGCATCTTCTTCGTATGCAGCTTCGAGTGTATTTTTCCTCAATGGCATTCTAGGTTCCGGGCATTGATTCTTCCGGAACCAACCCTTTAACGTGAGGGTTCTTATAAGAGAAGGCCTTCTTATGTTTACGGTGCTATTGAAGAGGACGTCTCATGTTCATTACGACACTAACATTTGAACTACTTATTTAACTTTCAAATGGCAAAATTAACTCATCGTTCGGACAAGAAATAAGATAGAAATAAAAGGATTTAATTTTATTTAATTCCTTCTATTTTAAAAAGTACATAAGCATTTTGCTATGTAGAAAAGAAATTTCCATGACTTGTGGCTATCTTGAACAACTTGTTTCTATGGGGATGGTTGCGCAGTCCTCGGTCCCGATGAATGTATTCTGTTCCCGAAATTTCATTCCCTGGTTGACGTGGCATTCAGTGTTGTCGTATTCTCATATCATTCACCTACAGTGTTCGAATGCGAAGAATACGAATTAGAATACTGGAAGTCTTGTATCTTCGAAGATCCCACCAATGAATTGCTAGGTAATCCTTCACTCAGCAACATATCTTGTTTCCCTTAGGAAACCATACTATCAAGCGAAAGAATATCTAATAGTCCTCTAGTGGTTTGTGCTCGTGAATGGTCGGGTAACCTCCATTCGGTAGCAAACTTAACTTCCCGGTGAGCATTTGCTATCGAAGCAAAGATTATCTAATCGTACCCAAGTCGAAACTTGTTCGTTTGCCTTGTTATGAAAGGTCTTATCACTGCTGTCTTCGTAGTATGCTTTCCGTCGCTGCCTCATTAGAAACCTTGCCAGAAAAATACAATTGGAACAAAAACTAAATGAAGGGAAAAAGAGTACAGCACATACTATCCGTTTGACTGTTGTTTGTCAGCAGTAATATCTTTTGAGGTGAGCCACGTTTCAGTTGTTGGGCAACTTGTCTCCGTTCTGGTTCTCCAACTCGTATGATCCTTTCCCAGTGACAGCTAAAACCCGGTAATGGCCTTCCCATGTTAGTCCTAACTTGCCCACATTTAGTTCTCGAGTGTTTTGAGTTACCTTCCTCAAGATCAAGTCTCCTACTTTGAAATAACGGAGGTTGGCTCTTCGATTATAGTATCGCTCCATTCTCTACTTTTGAGCCGCAATTTTGACATGCGCCAAGTCCCTGTGTTCCTCGAGAAGCTTCAAGTTGATTAGCATTGCTTCGTTGTTCGATTCTTCGTTCGTCTGGAAATACCTTAAGGTTGGTTCCCCTACTGTCACACCCCAAAACCGAGGAGCGCGACCAGCTCCCAACCGAGTGAACCCGACCGAGCAAGCCTGTTAGATTTCTTTCTACCCAAACTCATCCACAAATGAAGATAATACATATTTTCATTAATTAGACAAAACGTGATCATGTCTACAATACCAATTCATTACCAATAGTTTTCATTATTTTAAAGTCTCAAATGGGACAAATAATACAACCACAACATAACATAGTTTGTCTTTCCCAGCACCAATACACAACCCACACTATGTCTACGAAGCCTCTATAGATAAAGAAGAGTACAATGATAATGTCGGCTACAAGACCCCGGCTATACCTCAAACAGAATACACAAAGAACAAAAGATACATGACCCCGGGATGAAGTGGGGCTCACCAAGTCAGCTAGGAAGAAGGTGTACTGCTATCACTGATCAATACCTCTTGCTGTGAAACCACCTATATCCATTTAAAGATGCAGCGCCCCCGGCAAAATAGACGTTAGTACCGTCGAATAAGACTAGTATGAAAACCAAACACCAATTTAAGAATTTAGAAAAACAATATGAATATGATAAATCATGGCGACAATAGCATGATATAGCTAACCGTTTAAACCAGAGCAAGCTTATTAAGAGCTATCAATATCATTTATAGGATTTAATATGAGATCCTATGTAACCATATCCACACAAAGCGGCCCTACCGCCTCACCCGATGTATGCGAGTGGAGGTATAAGTACAATACCACAATTCTACTCAAGCGGCCCTGCCGCCTCACCCCAATGTATGCGGGTGGATATATAACCATAGTACCACGAACTTACACAAAGAGGCTATGCCGTCTCACCTCAATGTATGTGGGTGAAAATGCATCAATGATACCAATACCAACACAAGCGGCTATGA